GGATATAGCTCGCTCACACCGAGGACCTATCCACGTCATCATTTACCCAGAATGCTTTATGTGAATGGTAAATAAAATGGCTCCGTCTGTGTTAAAATATATATTTTAAATATTTACAAAACTAAACAGCCTACAGTATTTTTACAGTCTTTATTTTACAGTTAAAATAAATGTTTATCAAATAAAGTCTAATGTTACAACTAATCGGGGATCCCTTTAATAGAAGAGATAACCCTCATGATGTAGACCCAAGTTTTGTTTCTATTAGTTTGGAGTAAAAAAATATATATTTTAAAATTGCACAAAAGGTCATTAAAAGGTTAAGCAGAGAAGATTCAAAAGGTACATCTTTAATTTCCGGTGATCCAAACTGTTTCTATTCTGGCCTCCAGACTCATCGGTTTCCTGAGAGATCATCAGAGTGGATATAATCCCATCAGATTTAGTTTTTGGCTTGCACAGATAGAAACACCCCAAAAAAGTACACAACCTTTATCCATAAACGCATCTAAAATGTAGCCTCATAACCATTCTTTACATCTCATATGATAATATTTTGTCTGGCATTTCACGTAACTTTAAAGGGCAGTGATGGTTGAAAATATTTCTGCGATCTAAAGCATCAAAGTTAACAAAAAATAAATAAAAAAATCGAGAGGATAATGGTGATGACGTGGGTCTGAAACAGCCTCCAGGACCGACACTAAACAATCAGAAACAAATTGAGTTTCTCTGCTGCCGGCAGCCTCGACGAGACAAAATAAGAATCAGATACATGAGGTTGTGTTTGAGAGTCAGCGGGAGGGCCCGGTTCTGATCAAAGACAAGTGAAGAAGTCGAGCAGAACCRGAACAAAACCAGAGGATGAAAGACACGTGTTATGCTCTCAGAGCCACAAAATTCTAATTAAACATTTATTTATAGGTCAAGAGAAGAGTCTACTTCTTTCACTGTCCCYGTCTTTGATGAGGCCTTTAGATAGTTTGATTTTAATTAAATAAGTTACTCATTAAAGGCCTCCAGATTCTCCCCAAACAACCAGCCGTCACTGAAAGACGTTTAATTAACGAGGCAACGAGAAGCTCGTGCAGGTTCAGAACAGAAATGAAACAAATGCAAACACAATGTCTCCAGCACTCACTCTGCAATGTATTCCAGAGGCGTCCAGGAGCCGAAGTCTGCGTCAGGCATGAACTTCCTGTTCATCGGCGTATCCAAGGTAACGCTGCCAAATGAAGCCAGATAACAGTCGGGGTGAGTGGCTGCGTCTTCACAGCAGAAACAGCCTCTCCACACGCACAACGGTGTGTAAGCTACACACAGCCACAAATAAAAGCTTGTTCTTAAAGTAAATTCAATAAAAACTGAAACATATTTATATTAACTTTAATTCATAAACAATTACAGTCAGAAAAAAACTGAACTCAGGTTTTAAAACCATCAAAGTGAGAATTAAATGGTTTGTTTTAAATAACTGGAGGCTAAAGGATCTTAATGAGGACAGTTACTTTAATTAAGCGCCTGCCACTGAAGGCGACAATGATTTTGTTCGTGTCTTTGTGTGTTTGTTTGTAGAATTAGCTAAAAATCTCCTGAAACAGAGGAAAGAGTAATGAGTCTCCCAGAAAGTCTACAAGAGAATACAGAATCACAACACAGAACAGAAAAAACACAAAGATTGCATTAGCTCAGCCAGTTACAAAGACATTGAGCTAAAATTTGATGTACTAGCATAAAGCTAGTCTGATGTACTAGCCTTTAACCAAGATCTCACCAATGGTGGACCATTCTGTCCTTCTGACTCATTTGAAAACATTTTGTTAGCATCCATGGCACTGCACTAAAGTGGTTTACTTCCTGACAGATAGAACATTCTCCGTCATGATCAATAATTTATCCTCCTCCAGTGCTCCTCTTGTGTGGGGTGCCCCAAGGCTCCATCCTCGGTCCCCTTCTTTTTTCTCTTTATATGCTGCCACTAGGAGAAGTTATATCTGCACACAAAGTGTCCTTCCACTGTTATGCAGCTGGCTTACAAATCTACTTGTCTTAAACCAGGCATGACTAACGACATCTTTTTTTTTGGACTGCATAATAGCTGTACACAGTGGTTAAGTAAATACTTTTTGTTTTTAAATCATAAAAATACTGAATGTATTTTATTCTAACTTTACCAAATATGTCAGTGCCCTACCTTTTAAGCTAAATGTCAGAAACCTTGGGGTAATATTTGATCAGGAGCTTAAATTTAATAAACACATTGACTCTGTATTCAAATCTAGCTTTACAATCTACGTCTATTGACCAAAGTTAAATATTTTTTTAAAATCACACTGACTTAGAGAAGACCACTCATGCATTCGTTATTTCTAGGTTAGATTATTGTAATAAGACTTCGGCATCCTCAGTATTCCCTAAAATGACTTCAACTTGTCCAGAACCCGGCTGCCCAACTTTTAATCAACACCTCTAGACGTGAGCATATCAACGGTTTTATCCACTTTACACTGGCTTCTTGTTCATTTTAGAATTGATTGTTTAAAAAATTGTATTGTTTGTTTTTAAAAGTTCTTAGTAGCACTTCCCCGCCACATKTATCTGAACTTTTAAGCCTAACTGTACACGGGAGGTCCGTGAGGTCATCAAATCAACTTTATCCCAAGGACAAGCTTTAAGCATTGGGGTGACCGGGCCTTTTCAGCGGCAGGAACCAGACTCTGGAACAACTCACTCTACCTTTGCTCCACCTCTGACCCGGGCATCTTTAAATTTAAGCTCAAGACTTATTTCTTTAGACAGGCTTTTAATACCATGTAGCCTGGTGGCATTTTTTTATATTCTTATTCACTTTCAAGGCAACATATTTATCTTTGTTTATTTTGAACTGAAAAGAATAAAATACCTTAGAACTAAACGTTCTAGGGGGTTGAATATATAATTTTAACTTAATCAGCTGTTGTACATTATAGTTTTGGAGAATCATGATTACATTTGACAGAGGGGGTACTAGGGGGCATTAGAGCTGTTAAATCCAYGTTTGGGGGGCTGTGACTGATTATTAACGTAATGTCTGTTTTTCTTTATATTTTATTTTTGTATCTTTATTGGTTTGCACTGTTGAATGGCATCTTTACTAATAGTTATTTTGTCTACAGAAGGTTGCTCCAGCTGCAATATTGTGCTCTCACCTTTTTGTATGCATTTTATTCGACACTTTCATTATACCTCACAGCTCTCATGTAGTTGCTTAATTATTTTCTCGATTCAGGTGAGTGCCTCGTGGTGCTAAGATTTAGAACAAGCACTTTAGAACTGTTGCAGTTCCATTCAACCAGAACTACCCATCCGTTGCAATATCTTGTGAACTACCGGTAGTTATTTTTAATACTGGGAAAAATAAAACACATATATTTTGTAAACTATTTCTGCTTTTGCCATTCTGGAGCCAGACCTACCTGAGTACTTGTAATAGGGAATCCCTAGATTATTTAACATTAGTTTAGTAATCTACCAGTTGACCCTAGAGTCACGTCCTCCAAGTCACAATCCGGGTACTTCCCACCTTGTTACAGGTATGATAAAATGGCTCAGGGTGTACACAAGTCTAAAAAGGTTGGGAACCAGTTCTACTGTTAAGCACTATATAAATCAATAAATCAACCAAATCCARTTTAAAACTCWGGCGTGAAAGGGGGTGATAWGCACCCCAATAAGGAATGTAAAGTCTTTAATTAGGTTTAAGAAACTCCCTAAAACCTATTATCAAGCTTTTACAGAGATACACTTGGTGTTTTCTGCAGCTCCATCTGCTTCAGCAACAGAAACGGGTCTGTAAAAGAAAAATGCAAGTCACGGTTAACGCTAAACAGATGTGACATTATGCCGGAGAGGTAAAGTTTGTGTGGCCTCAKATTGGGGAGGAAAACAAAATACAACCAAAGAGAGAGCAGGAACCAGATCCACCCCTGAAAATACGCTTCTCACCATGACTTTGCAAAAAAACGGTTTCAAATTCAATAAGCAAACACAGGAGGGGACAGTGTGCGTCACTCATCTAAAGCTGATTATCTCACCATCAAAGATCTGCGGGGTGAAATTGGCGTCCTTAATCATCTTTTATTCCTGCATCTCATCTTCGCCGAGCACTTAAAACATTCGACAAAACAAGAGACGAGAGGCACAACAGCATCCATCTTCGGCTTTCACATGGGCAGTATGCATCGCTGGCAGATTTAAATCACCGCTTTGCAAAAAWTATTTGGATTAAAATTAATGCCACCATTTTCAACCTGAAAAACTAAATGTCATTGTGCTTGAAAACTGAATCCATCCACATTAGATTGAAGTGATATATATGTGCTTTTACCCAAAACAAGTCTTACTTGATACGTTGTCAAAACACAAAAAGTGATATTTAATTCAATATCACACAGATACGCATTTAAATTGTTATTTACTTGAAGAAATGTCAAACTTGYTTTAAAACATTTAAATATTGTTTTCGGCACTTTTCTCTTTCTGCAGTTTGTGCTTTTTCAATAATTTATGTATCAAAATGTTCAGCTCCTTCAGGAAATTTTCTCCACTTCTTTAGTATTAATTTCAGCTTCTATTTTGCTGATTTGCACTTGTTTATGCTTTTTCAGTCATTATTCCGATCTTTGCTGCCAACTTCAACTTTTTTGTGCATCAGCTTCTTTCCATTTTAAACTTTTTGTGTTTCAGCTGGTTTCAAATTCTAATTTTTCAAATTCAAATTTTTTTTTATTTATTTCATTAAAAAAATACTATACACAATAAAAACAAACCAAAAAGATATACAAATCAAAATAAAATGAAAGGTAGCAGAAGAGGAATAATGCTGCGTTCACACCGAACGCGATTTCAGCATCAAAATCGCAGCCAACGCTGAAGTTTGAAGCTTGTGCAC